AGAAGACATCACTGAATGTGAATGCTTATTGACAATATTTTTGATTAACATAACTTTTGAAGAAGCAAACGATTCTGATGGCAAATAATTTTACTATTTACGATGAGTCTACTGCATATTTAAGTCAGAATCTCAAATGTATACATTTTAATTTTTGCAGTTTTTCTTTTGCTGTTTGATATTGCAAAATTGCTTATTTACTATAAAAAGTATGTGCTTTTTGTTGATTTTCTGTAAAATGTCTATTTAAACAACTCTTCTTAACTTATTCTCCCTCTCACACACTCCCAGCTATAAATGCCTTAGTTTCTTAGTTTCATGCCTACTTGTATTATTCCAATGCCCATAGATGTGTAATGAATTATTCACCAGCAGATGCTAACAGAATCAACTACAGAAAAAAAGAAATATATTTACATTCTGATATTCTATAATAACAAACGATATATAATTCATGGCATAATTTTAAGCGTTAAACTTTCTGTCGTCATAGTTCACACTTACGACTTATTCGAGACGCATCTTTTACATTCTAGAAGTGAGCGAAGTTAAAAATTCAATTACTTCTGAAGCAGAATTTTATACTGGAATTTGATCTCTAGACTGATCTTTATTAATTAAGTGAGACTATAATTAACAGAGTATTAAGTCTACTCATTTTCCCAAAAATAGTTGGTATCAATAAATTTGATTATTAATTATATTTTAATCCAAAAAAAGTAATAATGATAGATAGTTATGCCACTGAATACTAAAATAGTATTTACTATCACAAAGATATCTAAGCTATGCTCTAAAATTATGCTTAGTAAATTCATTATTATTATTATTATTATTATTATTATTATTATATTTTCATTTGAATATACTTATTGCAGTAGCTAGTTTATGAGTATTTTTGAGTAGTATAATATTTGTCTCTCAGATACTCATAAAAATCTGCTCATACATTAAACGAAGACTAAAAAATCATATAGGAACTAATTAATATGGCAGCGACGTATGAAATTATTTTTTTAAATCAATTTTTATCTACAAAAAACCCATTTGTTCAATCATTTATTTATTTATTTATTTATTTATTTATTTATTATTTATTATTTATTCATTTAATCATTCACCTTAAACGTCTTCTGAGATCGATGAAGCACAATGTCCTGTAAAGATGAATCGACCATTTGTAGGCCATATTCTGCTGCTGTGTTGTTTTTCGATTTTTCCATTACCATTTGAAAAACTGATCGTACGAAGGATATCAGTTCCTGAATACTACTTTGTAGAACTGACGATTTGCGCTTTTTTTCAATACCAGCAGAAGGTAGTAGTAATAAATGAAAAAGTTAATCTCAAAGAATACCAAGTTTTCTCAAAAAATTTGAAACTGAAAATAAAAAACAACGATTTTGGCGTTCAGTAAATCATTTTGGCATTCAGTATATCTTGAAGTTGATATATTCATAATAAAAACATAGGTAAAAGTGTTAATTATGTAAATATATTAAATAGATAGAAATTTTTGTGCGATATAAACCTACGGTTTGTGTAATTGTGTCAGCGTCACAACCTTTGATCATCCTTATTGTCCAAATAGCATTAGCTTCAGGAGTTGGCAGACAGAGCAACGCTAATGATTCCATTAAATCCTGCTTATTATATTAGCTGTCCCGATTTGGTACAAAAGAGATAATTTAATCACAAATGATACTATACTGCAAGTCAAAAATGGTTGTTCTTAATTGCTCAGAAATCAACCAGAAATCAACCTGTTGCATTTGATTATTTTACACATTGATCAATCATGATTTGCAGAAATGTATACTAAAATAAGTCAGTCATACAAAAAGATTGATTTTTTTGATCTGATCTGAAGTTTGATCAAGCAGAAATAGATTTATAGTACCTGAAATGATACTTCATCTTTCCCATTCGCAAAAGCTGTAAATAATCTAAGAATATAGTCGTTATTTAGATAAGATGGAAGGTATGGACCAAACATTTGCCTGAAGTTTGCTATTCGCATTCTGCCTGCTGGACACTCCTAAGGTAATCATTTTATTATCTTAAATCAAATATTGAAAGCGTACTCAGTCATTCATTTGGTACTTAATTAATTAATTAACTAATTAAAAACTCAATAATTATGCAATTATTTAAATAAAATTATAAACTAATTTGTTAGCTTTTGTTAGATTTGGTAATTTGAAATGTTGATAGCAGTCAGTCATTTTGATTATTTCGATAAATTTTCAAGAAATCTTTGCAAAGTGAAATATCTTGCAAGCATATAAACTTGTTATTGTATTTTTCTTCTAAGATATGTAAATTTCAATTAACTTTTGTAATAAAAAATGAAAAATGTGATATTTAATAACAAAATAAAACAAACATTTTTAAATTTGGAATACATATATTTGATGTATTTTGAACTGAATACATTTCTTGTATGTTTCCGTAAATCATCAATTGAGGGAGGCTGAACAGTTAATTCCCTTTTCATTAATTCATCCAATTCAGTGCATTGCATTGCTGTACTCAAAATTATCAACTACGAGCATTAAGTTATCATTAAGTGATAATACATTTCTTGTAAACTAACTTAAAATAAGCACTTTTTTTGAAATAAATTAGCATTCAGTGTTTAATTCGCACTGTTATTTCGTATGAATTAATTTTAAATTTATGACAGATTTAAAATTAATTCATTAAGCTATTTTTCGAGTAATAAGCTTCTACGATAAAAGCTATAAATGTCAAAATTTTCAGAAATTAGTTCAGTTCTTCAATATGCTTCATCTCACAGTAATTGAACAAATTAAATTTAGTCAAAGCATTAATTGCTCATTCTAAGTCTGCGCAAGTAATCAACTTTTTACACACTTATACTACTCCTATTGACTTAATGAGTTTTTGTTTTTTGATTTGAGAAAAACTTATTAATTGCAAAAGTAACTCGAAAATGCTATTGCACAGAGTAATTAGCAATAGTGAATGAAAATTTGCTAGTAAATAATGATATACAGTAGTATTTGGCATCAAAACAAGAAATTGCAACTTCTTAAACGCATTTTTATAAAGTAACGAATACTTGTCATGATGTCCTTAATTAGAATATCATATTACTTAATTAAAAAAACAAAACTAAAATAATTATTTTTTGATCGAGCAAAAAACCAACGCCAAATTCGTTCATTTCACGTTATATATTTATCATCAAAAGTCAATATTCACATACTTATTTGGTTGCATTAGGAATTAATATAAAATTTATAGTTTATTGTCGCTATCACACATTAGAATATTTATAATAAACGGAAGTTTATGCAAGAGAAAACTTATCAATAATTTAGCTTAAGTTATTTCTCAGTTTGCTTTTACAATTTTAATTTTTTTCAAAGACAAAAATGATTTATTAGTAACTGTGCAGTGACGAGAAATTTTGTACTCAATAAAAATATTAAAATATACAAAAAACTTTTTCATTTTAAATATCAATACTGAATGTCAGAAGATGAAGTTAACTCTTTGCAGTATTCGAAAACTTTGTAAAAACTAAATTTGAAAAATATTAATCATTTTGTGGTTAAAAAATTCAACACAGTAATTGATAATTCACTTAAAAACACTTAAATTATGCAAATTAATAGCAAGGTTAATAAAAGCATTTTTACAAATGGTACAATGAAGAAATTGAATACTTTTGGCAATGTGAAATTCATAATAATTTTTTAAGTACTATAAATTGGTACCACTTTCAGCACCTCCAATTCATTTTCTTTAAAGTTATTTAAGCATGAAGTAATGATCGTTTTGTGCATAAGATAGCAAATATAATATGGTGTTTATAAATTATTAATAATAAGAAGTTCTAAATAAAAATAAAGTTGCCTTTTATGGGTTAAGTTTTGTTTTGATATGTAAAGTTTGGCATGTTATTTCAGCAATTTACAAAAATAATTTATCGAACACAAATAAGCAACCAATGAAGCATACATACTAAATTTAAGTTTAGGTAGCGCAGATAGTAAAAATTAATATTTAATTACTAGCTTTTTGTTTTTTGAGACACTTACGTAAAATATGCATGCTAAACACACGTAAAGTATGCATGCTACACTCGTAAAATATAAATGCTAAAATAGATGCATAAGGGTGCAAGACAAACATTAACAGCAAAATGTTATTAAGCAAAACATTTATTTTCACAGCTTAGTCCTCACTTACGTTAGTTACTCAAAGACGTAGACTAAAGTTGCAATTAAATAAGACTAAATTTCATGAATAAATACAGAAATTTGCCATCTGTACTTCTGTGTCATAAAAATATCCGTTATTCGTTTTTATTTTGTACATACTTTTTGGTCTTTTTTCTGGTTGTAAGAAACTGCCGCATTTTATGTAAATTATATTCAAAAAATGACTTTACTAACTTAACTTAGACAATTTTGAAAAACTTGACTTACATTACAGAGTTATAAAACTAATTCTCACTACTTCTGAACAATGAATTCGGTGCTTAAGCTTAGTAATTCAACAGACAAATGTCATCGATGTGTTTTCCTAACAAATTCGAAAAAGTAAATTTAATTATGGGAAAAATATTTGCTCATTACTATTGCCTTACATATAAAAAGATATGAAATTAATAACAATGCAATTAAATTTTTCGTAGAAATGACATTATTTTTTTGGTGAATGAAATTTAAATATGTCCAAGTTTGAATGAAACACTATAAGTCAAACTGGATTAAGTTCTCGACATAAGAATAAATTAAAAGTATGCAAAGAATTAAAACTATAATCAATTACTTGAAAATACTTT